GAAAATTTCCTATAACCCAAGAAACCAAAAGCTTTCTTGTGAAGCTGACTGAAGATATTTTTTGATTGAAATTAAATTTTGAACTGAATCCTCGTACGAAACTGTAAGTGGGAACCAAAATTTTCGATTGAAAATTTCTCCTTCGCGCTCTCAACTCAGAATATTGTGGCTCTTCGGATATCGTCGAAAACTTTTAACCACAAATTTTCAGAGAACGACAACGATAAGAAACAGCAAAATTGCTCGGATTATTCGATACGATCAGTTGCAATGATTTCAAAAAACCAAATCTATCCCGAGCTTGCTCAAACTTCTAATCAACTGATCATCATGAACTAGAATAAAATAAGTCGAGCAGAGCGAGCGATAAAATGCGACCCAATTTGTTAGTTGAAATAATGCTTGTGTTAGTGAACAATATGGGTTAGTAAACGTGTCTAAGAGGTTTCAGAAACTTTTTAGCATTGCTACGCTGATAAAGTACAGGAGAAGAGTGAAAGTCTTTCTCTCGTGCGCTTTCATTATGGTTGATGAACGAGAAGATCTCAAATTCTCCCTTAAAAATACTGCTCTATGAAGTGATCATTCATAAGCGCGTAAATTATACTAATTATTGGAGGGCATTTTCTTGCAAATAATATATTCATGGATGAGTAAGTGAAATTGGAACCGACTATAAATAGGGCAACAAAAAATGTAATAATTCCGACGAAAGGAAAGGAATTTTGAAGAGGACATTTAAGATTTTATGGGAATTTTTGCAAGTTCAGAATGGGAAAAGGATCATTCGCATAGGTGAATGCTCCTACCGTGGACGGTACACTTGAGTATAACAGAATCGCCTTGGTTAACGACTCGAATCGTTGGTTCGTCAATTTCCACACGAGCCACGCCCAGTGGACCGCCATTGGTTGGGTATACGGTAACAGTCGCACTTGCGATGTGCTCATCGTTACGGTAGCCTCGACACTCATAGTCACCACTATCGGATGACTGCAATAATCAGCCGAGTTTATGAAACCGACCCATCCAAAGTGGAAAGAGAAGGACATTTGAGCTCATGGAACGTCCAAAGGTTGTTGAAACTCTTGAGATCTGAATCGAAACTGAGAAATAAAAAAAAGTCGATAGACAAGAGAGCACCTTAAAGTTGGCAAAGTAAAGTACGCCAGGTTCATTGTGGTCTTCAACATCTGGCGGTAATTCGTCATCGACCTTGACCCATTCTAAACGATCCACCAAACCATTTCCAGTTGCCGCACAGATCAGCTCAGCTGGGCTGCCAGGTTCAAGCCATTGCTTCGAACCGCCAAGCACTGCTACCGTGGCAACTCGAGACGCTTCGACGACTGCAATGAGTATAATCACGTTACAATATTTTGTTACGGCGATATGGAAGGCTTTCACCAAGCAGCGCATAATACTG